AGATTATACTATTGAACAGCAAAGAAAACCTTTAACTATGCCTTTAATTTGATAAGTGTGCATATTTTAATTTTTATTAAAATTATTTAACTCCTTTTATTGTATATTTTACTGGGAGTATATTATGATCAGAATTTTATATTTTAATATTATTATATATTGCATTCTGATTTTTTTCAATTAAAATAGTCGTCATATGACCGCAAGACTAAAAATAAGGTACATTTGTAGAATAACAAAATCACTATATAAAAAACTAAATAAATAAATCAGTAAAATCAAATGAAAATTAATTAAGTGTAATAGACATTTTTTTTAAATAAGTTAAAAGCAATTGTCATAAATTCTTACCAGAGTATTTGATTGGCAATGCATCATCTCGTAATTTTATTATATTTAAAGTTCGATTCAAACAACTTTCCCTAAAATGAAGTGAGCAGATAAAAGTAACTTTTTCATTACATTTAATATTTTCTGCTTCTATGTAACTCGGCCATTTTCCTGTTTTGTTTCATCTTTTGGTAATCTAAAATAATTAATATATTTTTAAATATTAAAATTATCGATATAAACCATATGTTAAAGTAACGACACTAGCCATGTAAACAATATTATTTACGGACCGAAATATTATAAAAATATAAACGAAAAGAGCAATTTAGCATAAATAGAACACACCAAAATACGATATGTATCGATTTATACACGCAATCATTTTCAGAATAACTTACTTACGTTTTAAATACTGTTATTCCAAGAAAGTGTTTAACTTACCGGTGAAACGTAATATTGCTCGGTTTGCGGGATATTGATGACGCACAACCAATTATACAGCACCTAGGCATTGTTTTGCATAAATAATTTACAATTTTCTGCCATGAAAGTTATATAAATTAAAGTTATAAATGAAAATAACCACAAAATTTATAACACTGACAGCTGAACTACTTCCGAGAATACGCAAAGCAAATTTGCAAATGGCTGACAGGTGGTACGATAGCTATATCTCATGACGTCACGTAAAAAATTTTGAACTGTTACATTAGTGTTATCTTTGTTTACTAAAGAAATTTCTTATTAGTTAAAAAAAGACAACATGATGTTTTTGATGTCAACTTCAGATTGCATGATATTTATATAACCATAGAAAATATTTCCACTCTACCTTACTCTATGAACTGTACTGACAGTTCTGTGCTGTTCACGTGCTGTCAGTAAGTTGCACGGCCCGTCAACTCCATACAATAAACCAATCGCGTAGGGGTCCAGTGATGTATGACATTTCCTCACGCCCCTCACCCCTGTCAGTAGATGGAGACATGACACCTGACAGAAACTGTCATTACAACAAAGAGTAAAGATAGTAATGTTTTAATCAATCTTTAATTCATTTTACATGTTGGAATTAATTTATTCATTTCACATTGGCAAAATTGTGTGAAATGCGCAGATATGCCATTAATAAAAGAAGAAGAAGACTAAAGTATGTACGTACATATCAGGAAATTACAAGTGATTGAGTAAAGTCTATTTTGTGCTTACCGTCTTCGCTTTATTTGTAATATAAACTCTCCATTTTTCGAAGTATTTTTATTTGTAGAAGATGCCTAAGAAATTGGTGTGTTATGGTTGTGTTACACGCATTGTTAAAGTACGAACAGGACGCTATTCTTTATAAGATTCTAGTGAACGAGAAAAGATTCTCCAAGTGTTTACAATGTCTTAGTGCTGTGTGTGATCTGAAAATTTTAATCCAGGCAGAAGTGTCATTTGTAGCAAACACGTTGTACCAAGATTCATCACTCCAAAATCATGACTCTTGGGTGATGCATATCCGTCATTGTTTATTGATGATGGGCTCTCAATCAGCCTACCCTCTTCAAGCAATACTGGTAAGGCTGGTTTAATCTGCTATTGCCTTTAGATAATGTAATTAAAATGATATGTATCTTCACTTTATGTTGTGTTTTGGAATACCTCTATTCTTCATTAGATTTTTTTTTATTACAGAAATTATATTCACTTGGGAACACAGCTATGCAAGAAAAAGTCATGTTGACCACACATATTAGAAAGTGGAACTGAATAGAGGTTTGTTTTTAATTTATTTTATTTAGATAACAAAGTATGAACTTTGTGTATTTTAGCAGCAGTTTTGGTGTATTTTAATATAGATTTTTGCTTTAAAAAAGTCTAGTAGATCTCTATTTCTTACACGCATAAAGAAAAATTACATTAAGTTACTTAACTCTAGTGGGCACGCTAGAAGTGATTTTGATCAGAGAATAAATTTATAATATAAATAACATATTTCTAATATCATCTAAGATTATATCCTGTTTTTTTATCTTACACACATAATCAATATTGATTTCATAGGTGGTGTAATTTTAAAAGAACAAATTGAGACTCCTGTGTCTGCAGCCACTGAGTTTACACAATTAGTTGCTTGCTCTGGAGATTAAAATATGACACAAACTAAATTATTACTTTCTTTAGTGTATCTTTATTTCAATCAAATAGTAGTTCTAATAGAGAAATTCACTGAATACTTTTGATGTTACAGACCCTGTGAAATATACCCAAACAAAAAGGAAAAGGCTTATTACCAAATAAAGCCAATTGTCACCTTTATACCAGAGAATTTATGAAGAATATAACAAGCCAAATATGTAGTTGAACTTTTATCATAAAGTTAAGAATACTTTAATTCCTTTAAGTATTGTAAAAAGTTATCATTTGAAAAGTTCTGACAAAAAATGAACACAGTTGCAAAAATGTTTTTGAAATTCAAGTGAGCATGTGCTCTAAAAATAAACATGAGAGGTGCTTCACTACCGAAGAAAAGATAATTGCTTTATCAATATCAAAGCAGAGTCCAAAGTGTTATTGATTTTTAAGCAAAATTTTTTATTTTATCATCCAAAACTACACGGAATACTATGATTAGAAAATTGATCATAGAACCAGGCTTCATGTAAGAGGTAAATATATTCCATATAAGGTTTTTCATACTACTATTATAATTTTTTGTATTACTACAAAATAATAATATGCTACCTATTTGAATTTACTTTTTCAGGTGAACAAATGAAACTCCAAAAAAATATGCACCATCATATTTGATGAGATGTCATTAGAAAAAGCACTTTCGTATAATAAAAGTAATAAGGATTCAAGATAATATTAATGGATTTGTAGAACACCAAGAAAAGAAAGTGGATTTAGCAGATCATACTCTTGTATTTATGTTGGTGCTATTTACAAGTGGCAACAGCCTTTATGTTAGTATTTCTGTCAAGGAGCGACATCTACTGTACATCAAGAATATTTTAAAGTTAGTAGTAGAAAAAGTTGTTGAATTGGACCTTAATCCCATCGCAATAATATATGACCAAGGCTCAGCTTTCCAATCAGCACTCAAAAATCTAAAAGAAGACACTTAGTGTAATCAAATTTTAAATTATGGGGCTGTCGTGCTTTTAAGACAAAAGCCCCAAAAATATTAAAGATAATAATAAAAAAAAAAAAAAAAATTTAAATTGAAATCACAGGTTGGTACAGAGAATTATATTTATATGAAAGAAAACTAATAGATTTAATGAAAGTAGTGAAGGTTTTTATTTTTATATTGTTATCTACGTTTTAAGAAGTTCTTAAATTTTTGTTTCAGTTGGATTCTTAAAATATGTGGGGTGGATTTGAACATTATGATTCAACACACTTGATAAAATGTATCAGGAACAATTTTTTAACAAAAAATTTAATATTGGATAGTAAACCTTCAAAATGGCATGATATTATTTATGTCTATGAGACAGATTGTCAACACACTGAAGCTGGGCTACGTCATAAATTAAATGACCAATAAGTTATACCTGATAAAATGATGAAGGTAATGCATTGGTTATTATATTAGTATAACTTCAATTAGTATAAATAAAAGAAATAATTTGTATTCAGCTTCTATATTCTCTATCAGAGCAAGTGTTGATTCAATGACCTGTATTTTGAATTATGTAACAAGTAGTTAATATAGTTTACACTTAAATCACAATAATGATTCTCTAATGAAGATAATTTTAAACATGATATCTCTTTTTGCAGGTAAAAAATTGTGTAAAAATATGTCTGCAGCTTCGTCTTACACTGCAAATTTCTGTGAGTATTAGATGAAATTTACTAACAGTTAATAGTTTTGAATCGAGTTTCATACAATTATTATATGAATATTTTAATTTGCAGCAACTTATGTGGATGGCAGGCCCGTCAGTACAACATTAAGAAATACAGCTGAAGTTGTTTCATTCTTTGACCAATTATTTGATAGTGTCAATGGAGCATCGATAAACAAAAGAAGCATAAAGGAAAAGAGCATCATTCTTTCTGGCCAAAGGCAACTGAAATTTTAGAAAACCTTAAATATGTATATAAAAAGGTATGCAAATATCAGTGCCCTCTTTAAAAAAAATGTGATTACCTTGAAAAGTTTCATAAGGTTGTGCCACTAAAAAAACGTAGCTAAGAATTGCCGAGAATGCAGAAGAAAGCGGTGAAAAATATAATAAGTTAAAAAATAAATTATTCAATAAATAATATTGGAAAAATGTGTTTCATTTACGTGTTCGTTTTTCCTTTTTTGTTTTAATACAACAATAATAATAAGCTAGATTTATCAGTCTGCTTTATTGTTATTGTTGTATTAAAACAAAAAAGGAATTTAAAGTAAAAATAATTGGAAACTAGGAAGACGGCTAGGTACCTACCCAAAACAGGGCTGTATAGCTAAATGCCTTTGCCCATAGTAAATCTATATATTTAAAACGAATGAAGCTGTCATGTATCACTGGCTCCCAATCACGTTCTACGAAGAAATTTTTTGTTAGGAAGTTGGTCGTCTGATACCTACTAAGTCTGTGGTCAGTTGATAGACAGATATGGTTTTTGCGCGCGTTTCCCTATTTTTTGTTTGTTTATAAAATTTAAGTCACAACTTCAGTATGGCTGTACATAACAGAACATTGAATATTATTGCCTCCAAGTTGGGTTTAACTGAAGAAAAAATTTTTAAGTAGGTACTATTTTGTATAGGTTGGATACGAAAAACGCCAAGGTAAAGAAATTTATTTAAATGTTTGAAAAAATCTTTTCAGTAAAGCAGCAGAATTTGAACGTCTATTACAAACTAAAACTGTTGCTGGTAGTAACATTACTGACACAAGTAAAACTGTTATATGCCTGGACTTGGCAGCAGAGCTTCTTGGGGCAGATTTAGACGTGGTGAGCTATATTTGTCAAGTTTTTTAATAATTTTACTTATTATAACCTTGTTACTAGCAAACACGCTTTCTGCAAAATGTATTCTAATATTTATCTACATATTATCTCCTTTTCAGAAATGGTAATATCAAATTATATCTGTCTCTTTAGTTACCAACATAAGCAAACTTTTGTTTCTCCATTATATCGCACTTCAAAACCATTAATAACAGAAGTAGAAGAAGAATTTACTTCTGTGATATTAATATTGTATTATAAGTTGTATTTCACAGAAAACTGCAGTAAGATACTCCGGTCTTAAACCATCAGCATATACCAATATACGTAAAATAGTTCAGAATCTTCTAGACTTGAATGAGAATAAGTTGACAACATTAGTACTCTGCAATACTCTCCAGTGTAGTACCGTCCAAACATTAGCTGACAAAATACTGGATGATTATCAGAAGCAAGCTAAAATCGTAAGTGATTTGTAATTTATCTGTAACTTTTGTGAAGAATAAAAGTGGTCTATATTGTAGATGTATTCATGGAAAATATTAATTTCAACTAGGATATGTCAAGGCCACAGAAATATATATTTCTGTGGTCAAGGCTCACGGAATTATTAACATAACATTACCAAAACAATGCATGTACTATGCTTGGGTTGTAATAGGTTGACATATATTTTCTTGTTTTATTATAAGTAAGTTATGTAATATTTTTAAATGAAATTTCACCTTGTTTTTTAGCTATAAAATTTTAACTTTGGGCCTAGATATAGTTTGCATGTAAAATAAACCTCAAAATGCCATTTTTAATAAAGGACAGAGCCATTTGTCATTCAGTGTGAGGTGTATTCTCCACTGAGGTTATGTTTCAATTGATAGAAGTATTACAATTATTAAATAACATCATGATTGATAGTAATTATTAGATTATTTAGACTATGTTCATATCCCAAATTAAGTAGCATTTGCATTATGGAAATCTGAACAACAAAGTTACCAAAACACTCAGATCCGACAAACACTTAATTTTCACTTCAAAGATGAAAATTAAATGACAGTCCAATCCAAATGACAGTGTATGTACATACTTTCATTTACTTTTTATTTTTTTAGGCATTGGATTTTAGTTTGCCACAATATGTATGTATGGCTGTATTTCAAGCTTGCAGGTGATTGCTTTGATATATTTTTTTTGAATTAATAAATAAAGTTAAAACTGGTTTATTGGTCTCATCATGTACAATAAAAATGTTTTTCAGAATTAGCAAAGTGAAAATTCCAAAGAGTAAAATAGTTGAGAGATCTCGTTTGAAACCAGTACAATGGGGTAAACTTGATGTGGAATGGACTAAATTTGTTGATGAAAACTTTGCTGCATCAAAGAAGAAAAGGGGGCGACCAGCAAAGAATACGGATTCCCAAAAAGGTACTTAAATACTCTTGTTAGATATTTTAATCCCAAAATTCAAGTAGCAATGAAGGTACCACAACACCTAAATGCAATATTAAAATTTAATATCCATTGGTCATATTGGACTAAAAATTGATCCAGGGATTGCAGATATCTTGAGACTGGCATGGCAAGCCACTGGATGCGATACTAATAAAGTTAACAAGAATAGCAAAATAAATTATGATATTATCTGAATGACATGGATAAGATTCTCCATTTGAGTAAGCCCAAAAATATAATCGACTAGTAACCATGTACCAACTTGTGTTTATCACGCGACTTCGCCAGCGTTAATTATAGTTTATGTAAGCTAAGTATGATGTAGCTTTTCATAGGTAAAAGAATTTTGACTATCGTATTACAATTTCCAAAGATTACCCTAAACAATGATTGAAACTTACCTCCTTTATTAGTGTAGATCAGTAACAAATTTCATTCCAACCAATACTTTTTAGATAATAATGAAATGGAGGTAGATAGCCTAGCCAAAACTGAAGACACCAAGGAATCTCAAATAGAGCCTTATAAGGATTGGAAAAAAAGAATTTTATCTGCAGCTTATAAAGAATTAGAGATAGCAAGAAAACAACAAATCCAAATGTCGAAGTTGTCCCCGAGAAGATCCCCTAGAAAAACGCCTCAAAAAGCATCCCCTTATAAAAGTCCCAGTAAAGCAGTCAGATTATTATTTCCGTTAAATTTCTAAGCTAATTATTGTAATCCCATTGATTTATTCGTATTTTTTTAAGATAAATATCAATACGGAAATTAAATGCAAAATTCCCATTAATAATTATATTTATGGATTGTTTTAGCACAACACTTTTCAAAGTTAATTGACAATGAAATAGATGACTACAATAAATTGTTACATAAGCATTATAAAGTTGCGATATTAATACATTGAATTTTTTAAGAAAACAACTTTTTAATTACCACCAAAAGCTTCTCTGTTAAACTTGAGCTAACACGTAATCCATATGGTTATGCCTGTCTCTTTAGAGTAATAAAATGTCAATTTTTATAATGCTATTATATTTTATATCTGGTATTAGTGGAGGAAATATCACTGATGCTCCTGAAACGACGTCACAGTATTTGGAAGAACCAGTGCTTCCTGACGAATATTCGCTCGCTTACCCAAGATCTCTTGGATTTCTGTTTATTTTTTTAACCCTCCTGATTGGTGTTATAGTTAGAACAACTATGCTTTATACAAGTATGTGTGTACCATATCGTGTAATCATGTTTTGCCTCGGTGGATTGGTAGGTTTTTGCGCGAACAAGTACCCCGCCTTCAAACCTTTCGTGTGGATTTGTTATATGGATGTAGATGTCATGATGACTATTTTCTTGCCGATATTAATGTTCAATACTTCATACACTGTCGATTCTCACGCATTCTGGAAGAGTTTCCCGCAAATTGTTCTCGTTGGTGTACCCGGAGCTCTCTTGACTGCTCTGTTGGCGGCCTTTATGGCTTATTATTTGATAGAGTCCTCTTGGAACCTAGCCACATCAATGCTCTTTGGTATCATATGCTCCCCGATATACCCAATGGAAGTGGTACAAAAATTGAAGGAGATGTCAAAAGGAAAATATATAAGTGTGCTTCTACTTGGCGAAGGTTTGATAGGGGATGCGACAACTATGATAGCGTTTACCGCTGTATACGGATATTTGGCCATGGCACTAACACGGCCTTCGCAAATCGCATTGCTTCTAGTACGGTACGCTGGGGGAGGGATATTGCTTGGAATTGTGATGGGGCACATATCTGGAACCTTGTTAGCGTTTACGTATTACGACTTATTGTGCGCGGTATCGGTGACTTTATCATCCGCATATTTGACTTACTATATCGGTGAGAAGTTCTTGTATGTGTCTGGGTTGTTGGGAACAGTTATCGCTGGGGTTCTGGTGAGCTATAGAAAGTCATCGATGGCGAGTGAAGTGGAACAGATTGTCACACATTTTTGGAGCATTATGGCACATATGGCGAACACTTTAGTTTTTACTATGGTGGGTGTGGCCATATTTGAGAAAATAAGCAACATAAGCAGTATGCGACAAGTGTCTTTGGTGTTTGTGACTTACGCGACGGTATATTGTTCAAGGTACGTTACTAAGAAATCTTGTTTTGTTCGTATAATACGTGCTTGATAAATATTCTGTCAGTCTGTCCATCTATCGCAGTTGATTTTATTCGAAACTACAGGACCGATTGATTTGATCTTTGAACTTGGCTTAAGGCAGACACGCAATGTAAATTCATTTTAAACATGGAGATCTCTTCTGGGGGGGCGAAATAAAAAAAGAAATCAAACAGTTGCAAACTATGTGATGTGAGTGCGTTGTGCATCAAATGAAATTAGTTGTGAGTATTTTTTTTATTTCAACATAAAAGTTTTGAAAGAAAATAGGTTTTGTCTGCAGATTTCAGGTTTACATATTGGATTATATTGTGTATTTCCGCGGAATAATTTATTTATCTTAAAGAGAAATGCTTAAAAGGTGCCCGAGATTTTTACTGGTGAATTTTTATAGGCATTTTCCTTTATGCGCGATATCATGAATTAAATGCAAAATTAATCAATATATAGTATTGTTAATGCAATATTGATAAAATGGCATAATATTGTTGTAGGCTGTTGGTATACACTTCCATGACTCCTATATTACGCCACGTGGGCTATGGAATGACCTGGCAATTAAGTTTAGCTTGCGTATGGGGCGGCCTTAGAGGGCCGCTGACGCTCTGCTTGGCTGTGATGGTACTCCAGACACCTGCTGTGGCCGATGCTGGCGAGGTAAACATTCTAAGATACTTGGGGGGCTAATTGTCAAATTTTAAAGCCAATCACAATACTTTTCAATTTGAAGTTTGAAAGATTTTCACGCTACAAATATTTGACATGTTTTAGCGATTGTAATCGTTTTTTTAAGTTTTTTAATGAACGATATTGTTTATTTAACATTAATTGGATTTGTCTAATGCGCACGTAAGATGCAATGTAAATTTTACTATGTTTCTTCATCATTCGTTCCGAAAGCGATGCGACTTTAATAGTTACATAATTCCATAACTATTTATCACAATCGTTATACCTTTGAAGTAATTGGGGTAAATTAGGAAATTGGACAATTAGGCCACAGAATAGTTCATTGGTGAACACCAGGTTCTTCCTATGCAATGAAGAAATTAGCCACAGAAAATGATGTCTTAGCAATATCATGTTGATATTTTATTTCAGTATACTATTTCGACGTGTCTTTTTATTGCACGACAAACGGTCAGTTGCACAAACGCTCAATTAAGGTTTAATGACGTCTTTAAGCTCTAATGAATGTCAATTTGTATGGGTAATGTCACTTTAAACTAATGAAAATTTTAATGGAAGTCTGTGCTACTGGCTGAAAGTTATTAACACCGCTGTCAAATCCATAATCATTATTCTTTATCGTTCGTTCGTCATCAGTAAAGTACATGTCAAAATAGCAAATTAAACGAAATATTGCCATAATATCGCGTAGATGTCGTAAACCAGTGACGCACTAAAGTGTAAATTTGAAAGTTGTGGTAATGCTTGAGCTACTTATATTGAGATCTAAATTCTGAGCATTATATGTGTTGTTGTCTTATATTTATCCTATTAATATTATAAATGTGAAAGTTTCTTTGTTTGGATGTTTGTACGTCAATCACGCCGAAACTACTGAACGGATTTTGATGAAATTTGGTATACATATAGGGTGTTAGCTGACTTAGATAATAGGATACTTTTTATCCTACTAAACATTTCCCTAGGGTCTACGCGGGCGAAGCCGCTGGCGAAAGCTAGTTTAATATATATTTTTCTTTTATTATACCTGTAAAAATGTGTCTCCATTTTATATTTGCATTATAGAAATATCAGCAAAATAAAGACTGGACTATCTTATGTTTTTCCCCCTCCACGGAGCACCATTCATTCTCAAACTAGATTCTATTGATTTCTTTTATCAACCTTTGGAAAAATGCCTCAAATTTTCCATTCATCAGATCTTCATAATTCAAACGTCTGGACTCGTTGCACTGTCTCTGCTGATAAATGCCACGACGATGGGTAAAGTTCTCAAGATGCTGGGCATGGCCGAAATATCTTTGGCCAAGAAGGCAAACATGACGAACTGTGTCAAACGTATTATGATGACCAGGGATCGATGTGTGTCTATGTTGAAAATGGACAAGTTCTTAGCTGATGCCAATTGGGATTTGGTACAGGATGGTTAGTTGATTAATCATCAGCCTATCAAATGTCCTCACTGTAAGGGCACAGGCCTTATGGATGAAATTGAATCGAATAGGGGTCGCATGATGTTAACGATTGTAGATTAGGGGATGTAAACAAGGGATCCCGGGACCCCGGGACCCGGCCCTTTCACAGTCCCGAAATCATCGGGATTAAATTCCTTAAACCTCGGGATTTTCGGGATAAAAAAATTAAGTTTACTTTTTCAAAAAAACATTGCATGAAACGTAACGCACTTATCGAGTAATCAATGCCAATTAAAGGTCAACCATTTTGATTTCTTGAAGTATAGAAAGTTAATATATTATTACTATTAGTACGAGAAATGAGTCTAACTAATTAATATTTATAATAATATATATGACTGATTAATATTTTGAGAAATAAGACTGATTAATGACTGACTAATATTAAAGAAATGTAACAGGTTTATGATTATAGTGACGCAAATGTAAAACAAACGAGGCTGACTGATTTAGAAATAGAAATGAAACTGATAAATAATTACTATGTGATAAGTACCTATCTACTAAGTATTTGTCTTAATGTTAACCTTGTGTTACATAAGTTATATTTTTTAAAAATTTCTTTGTTTTTTGTTAAGAGGAAACTTTTTGTTCAGTTTTTTCCATCTCTAAAGAAAGTTTAAATAATAAAAATAAAAGTTGATTATTGTATATTTTTGTATGCTACCCTCAAATTCCGGGACTCCGGGCTTGTTTTTGCCCAGTACCGGAACCCCGGGATTGTAAAAAAGGCCCGGGATTATATCCCCTATTGTAGATGCACCCGGTATAACTGAACGTGTCTGCTCAAGTTCGATGCTCGATATAATAAATCATGTATTCAGTCTAGGCTACGTAAATCTACGGCGGGAGACCTTGTACCGAGAACAATCGGTAATAATTTTGGTCACCTGTTCTACGACTGGCCTTTGCAAAGTGACTTAACTTCCGCAAACCAAACGCGCTAACTACTGCGCCGTATGTAGTCTTCTCCCATTTGTCGGAAGTCAACAAGTCAATGTTAACAACACCAAAAACATTCAATTTACTAACTTTAAAACATTTTGAAGGCACTGAGATAAAACATCCGTATCAGCTTCAAATATCAGGTCGTGACGAGGACTTAGAAGATGACACTTATATGGGATATCGGTATACAACTTGCCCGGACTGCGAGAGAGAGATTCCGAATGAACCAACCAAGAAGGAGTTCGCTGAGATGATGAGGTAATAGACAGATAAATAGATTACTCTTTATTGTACACAGACATAACAATTAAAATTTCAATTGTGGAAAGTAGACGTATAAATGGCGGCCTTATCACTAAAAGTGATTTCGTCCAGGCCACCTTGGGATGGAGTTAAATCTAAAATGAGCTTATAATAATGGGGTAGTAGATGGTTTACATATATTATATTTATAGCTAGAAACACACTTATTATACACAAGCATTGCAACTGTCAACGTCAACAAATCAGAAAGCAATGTATTATTTGCCGTATTTCAAAGAAGCGTTAAATTAAAAGCTCTTCTATGATTGGTCGAATCGTTCAGAATCTTACGAATAGATATATATTAGTTTATAAATTTACCACAAGACGTCGCAAATTGATAAATTTACGAAAATGTGAGCGTAAAATATTTATCTATCTTCATATAATTTATCTCTCTTTTTCCTTTATTTCCTAGGAAATTTATTAACTTGCGGTTTTTGTTATTTTCCGGTGACATATGTATACATACATATGAAATGAAATGAAAATATCTTTATTCAAGTATACTTAGCACTTTTGAATCGTCAAATCTTTTTCCCCTACCACTTGTTCGGGACGTCTTTTAGCTGACAAGAAGAACAAGCGAAAGAAACTTACCAGCTTTTTATCATAAGTAATGACATTTACATAAATCATGTCATTACCAAAATAATATGTATTATCACAATAATAAATACAACTTTCAAAGTCTGTAGGTTATAGGTTGTACATATAATTAGTCGTTATAGAACAAAGCGAAGGCTATTAATTCCATGCATTGCGATCCTTAAAATAATCATCAACTTTTTAATATATGCCTATGTCAGCGCATCGATTGTACCACGATTATTCGATATTGATTCCTAGACTGTTAGAAATGTTAGACGGTCGGCCATTATGTCGTGATTGTTTGATTAGAGGCGATATAGGTCGGATATCATCAACGGAGGGCGTGATCATCGATACTTTTGGTTTTGTTGGGGTGGTAACACTGACTTTGACAGTTCGTTGACAACAGCGGGTTGCCGCCATTTTGGTACACATTCTGTTAATCTGTTTCCGATTGTCGAGGAGTAAAGACATCCGACGACATCGCGCTGAGCTGAGCTGAGCTGAGCATTATATTTTCGTATGAAAAGTGATAAAATGGAATAAGTCCACATTGGTATACACGCCTGCAGTGTTATTTTAAAGATAGTCCTCCGATATGGACGATCTATATGGGCTTCGTAATAGCCCCCTGAGACTACCCGCCTACATATATTATACATATATAAAAATTGCATGCTTACATATACAGATAGTGTTGTATAACGATTTCCTTAAAGATATATTTTTCCTAAGGGGGCGTCCATAAATTACGTGAGATGTTTAAGGGGGGGAGGGAGTCGAGTCAAATCTCATCTAATCTCACGTTGGAGAGAGGAGGGGGTCTCGGCAAATATCACGCAATTTTTAAAATAAGGCTCGGTGCGGGGAATCCCCCATAGAGTGACAAGTCTAAGGTTAAGATCATTCACTAATTCGTTGGAAAGAAAATAATTTCATTCGTACTTTAACATTATACATCACTCCTGATTGTCAAACCACTATACTCGTTTTATACCAAATAGTTCAATTTAATTTGAATTTACGGTACAATGTAGCCCGTCCTTTGTTTTCGCGCCACTGTCTGACCTGAGCTGAACTGAGCTGAACGTGTGACTCGATGAATGAGAGCAATATGGATTACTAGTCTCTAACTAGTCGTAAATAAAAGTACGAAGCGAATTATTTTTTTTTCTTTTTATTAAAAAATCCAACGTGTTTAAATAAGAAACCCACTTTTTGAAAAATCTCACGTGAGATTTGGGGATGGGGGAGGGGATTGAATAAAATCTCACGACATCTCACCAGGGGGGGAGGGAGGGTCAGAAAATTTGAAAAAACACCTCACGTAATTTATGGACGCCCCCTAATCGATACTGGTAATGCATTCCACACTGCTTAGACTTAAAGGTTTATCGTAGAAGATTGTAAAACAAAATATTATGCTGGTAACGCCACCCCCTGGAATTTGAGATGAATCTTGGCCCATTTAGTTTCGGGCTGCTATAGTATATCAGTCCAATACGAGGAAAATAGCAAAGTTAGATAGTTTCTGAGATAAATGAAAGTCGTTTCCATATTTCTCAATCTTTTTTGTTTGCCTTTTCTGGCAATAAGTAATGGTAACTTAAAGATCTGACGCTGGCTATGGATTTGTATGAGATTTAATTTGAAAAATATACAATTTTTAGTTTTTGCGTAATTATACCTCTTTTTCTTTTCCTCTTCAGTAATTCGGAAGATACTAGAAATAAGGAAAAAAGTTAGATACTTCACCTTTTGATAATTTTAGGATATATTGAGAAATTGAAAATGCCTTTTTTACCCTACTCATTGCGCGTTGTCATTGTATTAGCTCGACCCTGGGCTTATGTCTTACCGTCCCCTCTAAGTCACGTCATACCTATACAGCTTTGTTCTGCAGAGAAGCCAACCAGCGCGTCTTGAAAGCAATGAAGATATCGTACTGGCGACAATATGAGCACGGTAAGATCAGCAAAGAAGGCGTCAGGACCTTAGTGCAAGCAGTGGAAGTGGCAGCTGATTCTGACGACACCAGAGTAAATTTGGAGCAGTTAGGGACACTGTGGAAGCCCAAGGTACTGGGTTTTTTATACATTTTATTCCGAAATGACCAAGCAAATGTATATGAGAAGTTTTAGAAAAAGTCAATTGAAAATGAGCTAAATGACTAGGGATCGAATATTAGATTGATCATATGAATGTCAAATTCATTTGATGTTAAAAGTAGTTTCAGGATTATTTTTTAAGCGACTTCAAAAAAGATGGTTCTCAGTTTGACCTGTATGTATGTATGTTTGTTCGCGATAATCTTGCGTTTTGCTGAACCGTTTTTGATGCGTTTTACAGAATAGTATTTGTCAGAGTCAGGAGATTTTAGGTATATTAACCGACTAAAAAAAATCAGGTTCGCCCTTTAACACGTGTTGTTTGTATTGTCCGCGATTACCTTGCGTTTGGCTGAATCGATTTTGACAAGGTTTTCCGAAAATCATTTTTAGTGTTGCCTATTAGATATATAACAAATGTCACTATCACTAAAAGAAATAAAAACTTAAAATAAAAATAGACCCAACATCAAATTTAAAAAATTTAAAAATAATACTTATCTCAAAAGCGACTTATTCTAGAAAATCACATTGAAGTCGCCTATCGTTTATTTAATATCCTACAGAAAACCTCCGGCAGACTTTAACAGCATATTCTTGAATAAGTTGCTTTTGAGATAAGTATTATTTTTCACTTTTTTATGTTCAAAGTCGGTTTTATTTTTTGAACCTGGCTATTTTATTGAGGAGATGTTTTATTTAATTAACTCAAAGCCGGCAATTCACTATACAGACATGCTCGCGAGCATGTCTGCAGGCATGCCCGCCGGACCGCGCTACTGTACATCTGTGTAATGACTGCGTGCGATGCTCCTACATTAGCCCATGGGCGGATCCAGCATTAGCGCCGGAGGTGTTATAATCATGATTAATTCACAAGGAATTCTAATTATATTTTTGATGATAATTAATATAAGTAAAAAGTAGGTATTTAATTAATAAATGCAAGTGTGTTTTAATATATCTATATACCTACATTAAAATAAGAAATAAGAATGTACTATAAAATAAGAATGCTTGCCGTATAGTAGAGGTCCGTCGGGCAGACCAGTTAAATCAATTCTTTTCTTTTACAATAAGCATTTCAATTTAAATACAAAGGTTATGCCATTCAAAACATTATAGGAATGTCAAAGAAATTAAGTATTTTAACAATCACAAGGTTATTTTTACAATTCTTCATAATCAATTATATCACATAGTTAAGTTACAACATTACAAATTAAATTGTAATATTTCTACATATTATTACAAATTACGTTATATAAACAGACATATATGTAGGTAATTATATAATTTATATATTTCGTCATCTACCACAGAGATCTAGTCAAATTCCTTTCGTACCCATCTTTATGTAGGAATGAATATTCATCCAAACGCATATACATAAATTCATTTAATGAGTATAAGGGATACTGAATATTTTTTAAATTTTTTTTGTTATACCGTGGGTGAGTTTATTATACATTTAAATTGTATTAAATGAATACCTCGTTTAAAGCCTTATTTGAATGTGATTACTGTGAATTTGACCTCTTGGCCACAGGCTCACGCTGTTTGGCTTAGACGTAAACTAGTTAAAGCGATGACCCCAGAAGCGGCAAACGTGCAGATACCACGGCATCCGTGCCGGCAACGTTGCTACATGATAGTAACGAGTATATGGTTCGATGGCTTCATTTACCTCATGATATTGTGTAACACGCCCGTGATCATCACCGAAGTGGTACTCAAGTCACCAGTGACGGATGCCGTCACTATTTCGATCAAATCACTTAACCTGTGAGTGTTATCTATTAAAATATTGAATGAAAATTAGAAAAAAAAAGAGAAAATATTTTATTCAAATGAGCAAAGGAAGCCGAGCTGCGACGCTGAGTGATTCATTTTAGAAAATGGACTTTTCTATATTGTATCAGGTCTGGGTGTTGTGGCAACATCTTTGTCTCAGATACTCCATAATACCTTTAGTATTTTTAGCTACTCATCTTGGAATCTGTCAATGTATAATATTAAACTTTGATAGACCAAATTTTTTTTCTCTTTCGTCTTTCGGCTGACAAGAAGAACAAGCCAAATAAACTTATCAGCTCTATATCATAAGTAACCAATCAATTATAAATTTTTCCTAATTGTCTAATTTCAAACTGTATCGTAACCCCTTTCAAAGGTATAGTAATTGTGATAGCGATTTGAACGATCAAGAGACAATAAAAACTTAGTAACTTTACATCCAGCGTTTGTTTTAGATAATTCCATTAAATTAACGATATCTGACATACAAGTTACACTAAGTGCTGTTGTGAAGTGCGTGAATATCTTTCAAACGTCAAATTGAAACTATTGCGATCGATTACACAATTTTAAAATTAGACCATTAAATCTCGGGTTTCATTTGATTATTCATATGGGTTCCCATAGGCGTAGCTAGGAGGGCGATGCTGGGGTCATGGTCCCCCCCCCTAGGAAAAATCCTTAGCTACGCCAATGTGAGTTCCTGAATCCCTCTACAAGACGGATTAGGGTAGAAGATATACAGTTGCGCGTTTCCCACCCTTGACTGGGGTAGTCTAGTATGTTTGCGTGCCAACCAGGCATTGCACTGTCCGTGGCGCAAGACTAAACTGTTCCCGAGTGTAGATTGTCTCCGAAGTATAAGTAGATATATTTGTTATATTATCTAATTTTTCGACCAAAACTGAATTTTCTAGAGACCTTCACTTCATTTCAGATATTTTTACATAATCTATCTATTCGAGATGGTTATAAAGATGATCGCGCTCGGAGTTGGAGGGTACTTTAAATCACATTGGAACAAACTCGATTTCTTCATAATTGTTATGGCTACTGTCGGTGAGTTGAGTTATATAGGTACAACACCCGGTTTCTGAATTGAGAATTTGTAGTTGAGCACTTCTCAAACAAACTTCAAACTTTCAACCGTAGGGCATATTCGTCCTTCAAAGGCCGGCAGTGCGCTTGTAGCCCCTCTGGTGTTGCAGGTGTCCATGGGCGACGTTAATCACTCACCATCAGGTGATCCGTCTGCTCGACTGTCTCCTATTACATAAAAAAAACCGTGCTTAAGCCATTTTAAACATCAATTAAACAGGTTTTTATTACTGATTTATAATTTTTTAAATAATCAGTTGATAGTAATTTGATAAAACTAGGACTTTTAGCCATATGAAATGTAAAAAAACTTATGTTATTAAGAATAATCAATTTGCAGTTTTCTCAATTCAGAAACCGGCCGTATGCCCTGTAAATTGCTAATGCGCTGGTACCTTGTCTAAATAAGACACGCGTGACGTTATTGAATGAAAATAGAAAGTATAGATAGCACAAAAAGCAATAGATAAATTATTAATTACTTATTGAAATATGATTAATCCCCAAAATATTGTTATAATAATTTAATAACTTTTACATTGTTAATTAGTTGAAATTAGATATATTTATTATAAGTGAAATTATTTTTACTTAATGTGAAAATCATATAGTAGTTGCTATTATGATTAGTCAGTCACAATAAACAGACTAAAATAATTAATTTCAAAATATCCGATTTCCGAAATGTCCAATTTAGTTTCACGATGGGTTTGTTGCATACACTGAATAATAATATGTTGAAAGCTAGTGAATAACTTCTCATAGCCTGTGTTAGAAATATTAAACAAAATTATCACCTATGTCACCCTTATATGTTGTAGATCCCCGTAAATGTATTTTTTTAAATCAGTCCAGTAATTTCGATGCAAACGAGGCTGCCCTGCGACTACTGCTCACATGAGCAGTGTCTCGAGAAGCTTCGAAATGTGGTTTGTTGTGTAGCAATTAAAAACTAAGCAGTAAAATACTACACCTGATCCAAGATAAATGACTTTTCATTGATTTATTTTCATATTTCAGATTTAGTTTTAGATATAATTGACTTTGTTACACCATGGGATAAATGGCGGAATATAAACTCTAGTATCCTAACAGCGACTAAGTTATTAAGGATGTTACGTTTTTTGAGACTTTGTAAACTAGCTAGGTAAGTTATTTATTGTCAGAGAATCATTTAAATCTTATGTATTAAGTGCAGCGAAATTATCCATAACATTTTCTGCGATTGATTTTGATTGATTCTACATAGCCCGGCGGTATTTATAGCGGCTAATAAGCAAAGTCATCAGCAAGTGTCAGCAAGCGTGGCTATGAATCGATAATTTCTGATATCGTATTAGAAGGAAAAATTAACTTAAAATATTATTCCTAATTAGAGTCATATTTTACAAAAAAAAAAAAAACGACACTCATTAAAAGCCCCGAATAAATACAATTTGGGCCTCGGCGGCATATAGCTGCTTTGTTGCGGCATACAACCACTAATAGTACCAATAATTACCAAACCACTAATTACCAATTAATACCAAGGACCTGTCATAGGCTGGGTGATTAAAAATTCATTATCTGAAGTTTCTCCGTGCTTTGGAAGGTACGTTAGGCTATTGTCCTTGACTGTACATCCAGACGTTAACACCCAAAAAAATTTAGTTATTTTTTATTTATTCGTTTATATTCAATGTATTACTAGTAACCAGGGTTCGGACGGTTAGGGTTAATAACCGAAACGTAACTGTTATTAACCCAAACGGTAAACTGTTAACCGATTCATTACGGTAACCGATTCATTCGGTAACCGATTCATTTCGGTAACCGATTCATTTCGGTAACCGATTCATTTGGTAACCGATTCATTTCGGTAACAGAATCAAATATGTTAAACCGGAATAATCTGTTTCAGAATATTTCGGTATTTTTAACCGAATTGTTTCGGTTTTTGCAAGTTCGATAGGTATCAAGTGTTTCATTCCTTATTCCATGTAATTACATGATTTCTTTCGCATATCTTTGATTCTTTAGAACATCTATAGACAGTTTTTAGGCCATTAAAAGAAGGCACGTCAGAGTTGGTCATAATTTTTTTTTGTTTTAGCCAGATCACTAATTACCTATATTAAAATACGTACCTAATAATTATTATATAATTTAAGTGTCTACTCTAATGAGATTTATTATGATTTATCAAGTAGTCTGATATACAGAGGTGTGTTTGATCAGATAGCATGTTTTTTTTATACATTTAATTTGATGCGTCGCGTATATTCCGACAAACTTCATCATACATTTGTTAACTTTATGCAACGTCGTGCGCGTCGCATTATCTTTCCGGCGAGCAGAGATCCCATTTGGCCAGCTGGTCGGCGAGCAGTTAGGGTCGGCACAAATCTGAAAGAAGATGCGTCGAGCCAAGCGAAACAACTGAAGTATGCATTTTTACGCGATTAATCTGTTGTCTATTATACAAGGATGATGGTATAATAGGTACTATAATTGTAATATCATAATATTTGTCGGAATATACGCGACGCATCTTCTCTCTGATATGTACCGACCCTTAAACATAGCAATTATGCATGAGGTAACTTGGACTTGTTTTAAAAATAATTTTAAAATTTATCCATAAATCGGAAACCATGATCGTACAAATAGCTTTAAACATTTTTGTAGCATACCAACCTGCAACCTTTATTAACTTAAATAATTTACAACGTAAACTATTAGAAAAACACATTACAAAAATCAAATTAGAATTTACCACACATCACAAACACTATTCACCTAGGATTTATCAATCGTTGCTTCCTATTTGAACATTACATAAATACAATAATGTCTATATTATTCACCAATAAGTGAGTAGCTCAATTGTATTTTTTTTTTGCAATATAATTTATCGGTCTACGTTATTTTGCATTTTGTGATGACCCTTGCACATTTGCGCGCGAGCGACAAGACATAAAAAACAGGTTGCCGGCAGACACAGGCGGCGACGCGCGACGTTGCCCGAGATCGAACAGTGGTTGCACGCGTCATATAGCTAACTCTTTTTTGCAGAACGATTCTGTAAAAATCCGTATCCGAATTCGAATTCACTCATACCTCCGAATTGACGTCATTTAGTGAAGAAATTCTGTTGATTCCATTTTTTGTATAAAAATACAAAAAAAAATATTGATTATACATATCTCAGATATTCTATTCCCATGTCATTTCGAAACTTACTTTACTTATACCACGAAACGTTATTACCATGGTTATTACCAATTCAAGATTGAGTGGATACCGCTTTTTGAAGCGAATTCGGACACCTGTGTGTATTAGAATTTGAGTTTGGATTTTTAAAGAATCGCAGGGATGTACAGAAAAGCCGCTCTCAGTGTTGCCAATTTATCTAATGCATTATTGGTGGTTTCGACTCTTTTAATGATATAATTATATTTTAGTGGCTGATAGTCTAATGTGGTTTAAGTTAACTGTACACAAGATATGCACACATTAAAATGTATTCGAATTATCCAAATATTGTTTTGTCTGTAGGAAATAAAATAAGTACATATTTTTTATATAAGGCTAGCTCACTCTGTATCAGATTTTGCTATCGTTATTTATTATATTTTCTTTTCTATTATTTTTAACTGAATTTAGTTTCAGCGATTGCTATAATAAAAGTATATATGTAGTTACTTTGTCAGTAATTAGTTCTAGATTATATTTGTTACAGACTGAGATCTTGAAAATAATGCTTGATTTATTTAATATAAATAGTAAAATATGAAAATTCAAAAGATTTAAGTAATTATAATAGTTTAATATTTTTGTTCAGTATTTTAGTAATATAAGTGACTCAGGGAATTGTCATTGAAAGTTGACAACACTGGCTGATCCATTCCCATT